TTGGACCATATCCAATATCACTGCAGGTATTTATTTATTTTATTTTTATTTTATTTATTTATTTTATTTGTTTTTATTTTATTTTATTTATTTATTTATTTATTTTATTTTTAATTTGGTGTTTTTTTTGGTGCCGGTTGTGTGTTTTTATGTTTTTTATTTATGCTGGACCATATCGAATATAACTGCAGGTATTTATTTATTTTATTTTTATTTTATTTATTTTATTTCATTTATTTATTTATTTATTTATTTATTTTATTTTATTTTATTTATTTATTTTATTTATTTTATTTGGTGGTGGTTGTGTGTTTTTATGTTTTTTATTTATTCTGGACGGTATCGAATATAACTGCAGGTATTTATTTATTTTATTTATTTTTATTTATTTTATTTATTTTATTTATTTTATTTATTTTATTTATTTTATTTATTTTATTTATTTTATTTATTTTTATTTATTTATATGTATACAATACCCATAAAGAATAGAAAAACAAAAACAAAAAAGTAGATGTATTTACACGCCACCAAAACAAGAAAACAAATAAATAAATAAAATAAATAAATAAATAAATAAATAAATAAATAAATAAATAAATAAACAAACAAACAAACATATTTATTTATTTATATTTATTTATTTATTTATATTTATTTATATTTATTTATTTATTTAGACAACAAAGACCAAATACAGGAGGTGATAGACGTGGGAGCGATCCCCGCTTTAATAAATAAACTAACTAAACTAAACTAAACTAAACTAAACTAAACTAAACTAAACAAATATATCTATTTATTTATATTTATTTATTTATATTTATTTATATTTATATTTATTTATTTATATTTATTTATTTATTTATATTTATACAGGCAACAAGGACCAAATACAGGAGGTGATAGACGTGGGAGCGATCCCCGCTTTAATTCATTTACTGGAAACGGCTGATTTTGATACAAAAAAAGAAGCAGCTTGGGCTGTTAGTAATGCTGTTAGTGGTGGCTCAGACTTACAGGTATTTATTTATTTATTTTGTTTATTTTATTTTATTTGTTTTGTTTTATTTATTTTATTTTGTTTGTTTGTTTGTTTTGTTTATTTGTGTTGTTTGTTTTATTCATTTATCTGTTTTATTTATTTATTTTGGTGTTTTTTTGGTTTGCTTGGGCTGTTAGTAATGCTGTTAGTGGTGGCTCAGACTTGCAGGTATTTATTTATTTATTTATTTTGTTTTTTTGTTTATTTATTTTGTTTATTTTGTTTGTTTTGTTTGTTTGTTTTGTTTGTTTTATTAATTTATTTGTTTTATTTATTTATTTTTGTGTTTTTTTGGTTTTTTTGGTCTTTTTGGGCCGTTAGTAATGCTGTCAGTGTTGGCTCAGCCGTCCAGGAATTTACATATTTATTAATTTATTTATTTTATTTATTTTTTATTTTATTAATTTATATAAAATAAATAAAAATATATATTTTTTTTTGTGTTTAGGTTGAAGCATTGGTGCGTATGGGTTGTATACCTCCTTTATGTGAGTTATTACGGTGTATGGACAGCAAAATAGTAATGGTAGCCCTTGAGGCTTTGCATGCAATACTAAGAACAGGAAGAAAAATAAAAGAAACAGAGGGACTAACCCTAAACCCTTATGCTACTTTAATTGAACAAGCTGATGGAGCTACAGCACTGGAGAAACTACAGGATAGTAATAACGAAACGGTGTTTAAAAAGGTATATATATATATATTTAGGGTTTAGGGTTTTTGAGGGTTTAGGGTTTTCGAGGGTTTAGGGTTTTCGAGGGTTTAGGGTTTAGGGGTTTAAGGGGGGGAGGGTATAACGTGCAGGGAACGAAGGGGAAAGGGATTCGGGTTTTGAGGGTTTAGGGTTTTTTAGGGTTTAGGGTTTTCTAGGGTTTAGGGTTTAGGGTTTAGAGTGTATGTATGAGGTGTCAGCAGCACAAGTAAAAAAAAAAAAAAAGCAGCAGAATAAAATATTATTTTTTTTTTATTTATTTATCTAAACAAATAATAAATAAAAAAAAAAAATAAAATAAAACATTTTATTTATTTATTTATTATATATTTTTTATTTTTTTTATTTTTAT